CCAGGCAGCTCTCGCAAGCGGTGGGAGAGCTGTGCGACTTCACGCAGCTCTCCCACCGCTTGCGGAGAGCTTCCTGAAGCCTGGAGAGCGAGAGGGGTCGGTGCGCACTGACCCCTCTCGCTCTCCAGGCTTCAGCGAAAGCCTGCATTTGCCCCATAGGACGCACACACATTTCCCCTTCATTTTTGGAGGGGAAAAAGTGCGTCCTATAGGGCGAAAAATACGGTACCTGAATTTTGTGATGCAGTTCTCCAGGTAGTGTGTGCATGAAACACACCTATTGGGTCAAATGCACATAAAATGAATATATTCATGAAAATAGCATACAAAGAATGCTTTACATTATGGAAAAGTGCATTATAATTTGTGTCTTTATAATAAAGTTGCACTAAAATGCAGATTTTTTTTTTTTAAATACACTGATGTAGAAACTGAATTTAGAAACTGAGATAAACTGAAATAGTCAGGTTTATCTACTTTTAAGTCCAAGAGTGGTCAGCCAAACACTGCTGGGAAACTTACAAGCAAGCATAAATGTAACAGCACTTTCCCACTGTGCATCCCTAGCACCTATTTTTGAGGTGTACCACAGGTGTGGGCCTGGCAACTTTTCAGGATTCTTTCTATTATGAGTAATCTGTTGGGACCTGCATGGTGGTGATGGACTGAACCAAAGCTGATAATGGGTGATGCCAACTACCTCAGATTAGAGTTCCCAGTCTTATGCACTTCTATGCAGACAAAAGCCCCGCTGGAGTTCCTCCAAAAAAGCACAGATCAAATCAGAAGCTCTGAGGCAGAGCTAGGGATGAGGAAAACATTAAATTCAGTTTGCATATAAAGGTGACCCCCCCACACCTAACACACACTTTCTAAAACCATAAGCAACCTGAAACACAACCATTATTTTTTTAAATGCACTTTTCTGAATTTTGCAGTGGAGTTCTCCAGCCAAATAATGCCTACAATGGTCCATAAAAGTTGCATAAAATGCATATATTGGTAAATATAAAATGCAAAGATGCACTCCAGAGGGAGAATGGCTTGCAAAAAAAGGGATATCATGATAAATTTGCACTAAGAAGCTGCTGAATTTTCACGATTACTTTTTTTAAAATTGCAGACTGATTTGGAAATGTGGAAAACAGAGCTTAAGATGGGGGGAAAGGAAAACCAGAGAGAAACTGAAATTCACCCATGCCTTGCATGCAGAAGGTCAAATAATTTGAGCTGGTAGGTATAAGGCAGTTTCTACTTGCATTGATCATGCAGGATGAAATGTTTCAAATAACATGGGAATTTGGGATATTTTGAAAGATCACCCGCTGTCATTTTAAACACTAGCTTTCCTGCACAAAAGCTCTCATTCTGATTTACATAAGCAAAAGATTCCTCTCCAACTATGGGCTAGGCAATAGGAAAAGTAAGGTAAACTCTGCAAAATACCGTACTCTCTTAATTGCATTTTACCTGGCTTACCATCAGATGAAGCAAATGCCGTTCCCAGTCCCATGCTGTCATGATCCCTGTATGCTTCTAATGACTCTTTGGTTTGCATGACAGTAATAAAAGCTAATTACCACAACAGCATCCCTCTGTAAGGACATAACTGGTTCTAACTCACTGCTGTTTGATTACTTAGTTTCATCTTGGTTCACTGCTTTTGGTTTGCTTTTATATCCTCTAATTTGGTCCACATTACTCCCACATTAGAAATGCACCCGGAGCCTATATGCAGCTGTATTTTATTTTATGTTTTTCTTGTTATGTTTGGTTTTAAATGGTATTGTAAACCACTCTGGGATTTAAAAAAAGAATTATGAAGGACAATATACTAATACTTTTTTAAAAAAGAAATATAATATAATATAATATAATTTCATAATATCATATCATATTATAATACTGTACTGATAACAAGAATACACCACCACCCATATTTGTCCTGCAGTGCCCCCTATGTACCATACAGATTGACTGGAGAACAAGATGAACTGAAGCTGAAAACTAAATCCTGTTCCTCCTTCCTGAACAAGAGATTGATGCAATTGTTGGTTTTCTTACAGGGCTTGCAATGAATCTTTAGGTGCAGCCCCACTCTAGCTGCTAAATCAGCAGAGGAACTGTGTGTGTAATATCCAAAAAAACCATGCAAAAGGTAAGTGTGTTGAACCTTGCTTCTGCATTTTGTCTCCAATGTGGAGTTGGGTAAATAAATTTTAAAATACAAACCTTTAAAAATACCTTCAGTGTTGCAATGCACACATATATTAGGGTAAAAAGTATAATGTATGTAATGTATCTATGACTGTGAATATTATTCTTAAGCTTATGTTTATTTATATCCCACCTTTTCCCCTGACAGGGACCCAAGGCAGCTTACAGATAACATAGAAGTAGCAAAAAACATGGGGGAGGGGGAATCATTAATTTAAAAAAAACTTTAATATAATAAATATTACTAGAATAAGATTTTGAGCTGGACCATAAAGAAGGCTGATTGCTGAAGAATTGATGCTTTTGAATTATGGTGCTGGAGGAGACTCTTGAGAGTCCCATGGACTGCAAGAAGATCAAACCTATCCATTCTTAAGGAAATCAGCCCTGAGTGCTCACTGGAAGGACAGATCCTGAAGCTGAGGCTCCAATACTTGGGCCACCTCATGAGAAGAGAAAACTCCCTGGAAGAGACCCTGATGTTAGGAAAGATTGAGGGCACAAGGAGAAGGGGACGACAGAGGACGAGATGGTTGGACAGTGTTCTCGAAGCTACGAACATGAGTTTGACCAAACTGCGGGAGGCAGTGGAAGACAGGAGTGCCTGGTGTGCTCTGGTCCATGGGGTCACGAAGAGTCGGACATGACTAAACAACTAAACAACAACAATTAAGACAAACAGATAATTACCAAAAAAAAAAAAATCACAGCGCCAGCTACTTCCTTAGAAACAGTTAGTTCTCAAAAGCCTGTCAGAATTTGAAATTCTTTGTGTGCTGGCAAAAGAACAAGGGAGCCACTCTAGCTTCTCTAGGAAGGGAGTTCCAAAGTCTGGGAGCAGCCACCAAATATTATGAAGAATGATATCATTCAAGAAGAAAACAATGGCTGGGTTTCATTGGATGAGTGGATTTATATGCCAGCACGGTCAAAGCAGTGTTTTAAGTGTTGTATAGGGGAGACATTAAAGCAATCCAAATGGGAGATGAAAAGGGTCTATTCCAAAGCAACAATATTTAGCTGTAGTTAGTGTTCCCAGAATGCAAAAACAGAGTGGAGCTATTATGTCAATCACACCTTCTCCCAAGGGCCTGTGCCCAACTGCTCCCAATCTGTGCAACACTCACCACAGTTTGCTCCAGCTTATTTGAGCCGCCTTCCCTTGGGAGATGACTCCAACTGATCTCGCTGTCAGGGAAATGTTCCCGCTACATGAGTTCATCTGAAGATCTCTGTCACCTTTCAAGGTTCAAACTGTCAACGTGAAGCTTGCAGCACAAGACAGTGGCACATTACTCCAATGTCCTGGAGAAGGAGCAAAACTGAACAGTTCACTTCTCTCTAACCAGTCAAATAAAGATAAAAACAGACCACAGAAAAAGCTAAGATGCAAGCTTTTTCTTAAAAGTTCCATCTGTTTTTTTAAAACTGTAGCTGAAGACTGCAAGGAAAGAAATAATTTTTGGAAATAAATAAACAGTTTAGATTTCAATTACCATTCAAACCTACAAGTCACAATAAGGCTGGTTTTCAACGTAGCACAATGCACCCGAACAGTGTTCTGGTTCAGAACAACAGTTATCTGTGATCAATTTGTCAGAATTCTACTTTTGATGCTATGCCACACAGACCAACAGACTCAGCACAGGCAGTACAGATACTAGCCTGTCAAAGCCAACAAGATCTAGTTACCTGTCACTCTCTAACCATTAGGAAACACTCTCCCACCTAAGCTGAGAAAACCACTCCTCATGGGTAAGCAGCCTTCTGGTTTGTACAATCTACTTGGCTTTAAACTAGTCAGCTCAGAGCCCCTACCCAGATCCATATGCAAAAGGCAAATGCTTAGAATTTTAAAAGTATTAGTCTATGATTTTTAATTGAACTGAGCTTGCTGCCCCTAAAGGTAAAGGGACCCCTGACCATTAGGTCCAGTCGTGACCGACTCTGGGGTTGCGGCACTCATCTCGCTTTATTGGCCGTGGGAGCCGGCGTACAGCTTCCGGGTCATGTGGCCAGCATGACTAAGCCGCTTCTGGTGAACCAGATCAGTGCACGGAAACGCCCTTTACCTTCTCGCCGGGGCGGTACCTATTTATCTACTTGCACTTTGACATGCTTTCGAACTGCTAGGTTGGCAGGAGCAGGGACCGAGCAACGGGAGCTCACCCCGTCACGGGGATTCGAACTGCCGACCTTCTGATCGGCAAGTCCTAGGCTCTGTGGTTTAACCCACAGCGCCACCCGCGTCCTTACACACATTCAAATCCTCTACTTTTTACTCCCATGGTGCGGAGATCACCATAGTAGAGCATCTGCTTTGAATGTAGAAGATCCAGGTTCTGACTCAGTATAAGGTAGCTTCCTGTGTTCCTCTGTTCACCCTCAGATTTCTTTATTCTAGCTGTAGAATTTAATGAGGGAACAACTTTGTTTTGCCTGTTAAACAACTGGGAATCAGAAATACTTGTTGAGCTACTTCAAATCACTCTGTGATCACATCCTATTTTCTGCCCCTCCATCCGCCTACATTATCAGCATGTGGGAGCAGCAGCGGAGGAAGTCGCTCGAGCTCCTGGGGTGGCGCGCCCAGGGGTGGGGCGAGGCACCCACAGGGGTGGGGCAAGGGTGGGGCGAGCCGCCCATAGGGGCGGGGCACACCACAGGGCCTCCAGAGTCTGCCTGCCTCCTCCCACTCAGCCACCCTACAGCTGGGGGGAGGCAGCGGGTGGACCATTGGATCAGCACAGAGCCTGCATGCGCCCAAGCCACCACGTCTCTCTCAGGGTGTGGTCCACCCTAGGTGTCACCACTGAGGGGGGTGACAAAATGCCGGGTGGCACGCATTGCAGGGCCTGCAAGACGTGTGGCTCGGGTGCTGCAGACCCTGCGATGCATGCCACCCGGCATTTTGTCACCCCCCCTCAGTGGTGACACCCGGGGTGGACTGCACCCACTGCACCCCCTTCCTCTGCCCCTGCATGGGAGTGTCATTCCCTTACACCCACAGTAGTGGATTCAAAAATCCCATTTCCCCACTTTGTAGCTTTAAACTCCTTTCCCCATAAGACGCTCTGACAGTGCTCCATGCCTTGATCAGGGGTGGCAATCAGCTAGTGAATCAGACGCCACTGTCCTTTGTGGCAGCCTGACTAAGAACAATACAAACACAAGGATGCACCTCCAATGTCTAATCCGTCTACCTTTCATGTGAACAAAGCGTTCTATCAACAGCTCCTAAACAAAAGGAAAAATATATAAAAGGATTCTTTGGCTGGCAGCGTGGAATGCCCAGACTGCATGCTAATTGATTTCGAGAAGTAACAAGCTTAAAAAGAAACCAGGACAGAAGTTAAAATTAAGATTTCATGTTGAGTTGGGGAGGGGGACTTTTTGTTTGCTTATTTTTTTGATGGAGAAAACTATACAGGCCTTGAATGGATGGTGCCAACATGATAAATGCCAAAGAGCTATTCTTGTTCTTTTTCACAGCTCCTGATCGTGATGCCCTTGCAGTTCTCTGTGCATCTGGCATAAAAAAGTCAGAAACTGGTGCTACTGCCTGTGATTTGGGGCACACAAGATTATGAGCTTTTACTAGGAAGGACAAGAGGTCACAGAAACAGCGGCGCTTTCAGCTGTCAGTGAATTTTACTGACAAGCTATTATGGGACAGAAAACTGACCCTTTGGCCCATGGCCTTGCCCACCATGTTCCCTAAGTTCTTATACCTGGATTGGTTTTCTGTCCACGGTTTTGCTTTCCTAAATGTAGCTGGACATCCACCTCATACCATCCTGCGGCTCCAAATGAGGATAGACCTTATTGCTTATATATTAATGTTTCTTGTCAATACATGACTTGGCATACAGTGTGTGTCAACATCCTAAAACTGCCTTTACGGGAATGATTTTTGTTAACCGGCTTAATCTCTGTTTGAGTTCTGTTTGTCTCCTAGTATTTTATTTATCTGTATATTTATTTTTAAAATCTTGCTCTTCAGAATAAAGGGTGGAGGAGCTCACAGAGTGGCTTGCAAATGTTAATGATAAGACAGTCCCTGCTCTCGGACTTACAAACTATAAGACACAACACAAAAGGTACAGGGATTGGGAGGAAACAGTGGGAAAGATTTCAGCATGTGCATGTCACATACCCTCCAACATTTCTCCAATGAAAATAGGAACATCCCATTCCATAATGATAATCTTACTATTTATGCCCCACACATCTTACTGGGTTGCCCCAGCCACTATGGGCAGCTTCCAACACATATAAAATCATAATAAAACAGTAAACATTAAAAAACTTCCCTATACAAGATTGCCTTCAGATGCCTCGGGGGGGTTGCATAACTCCATATCCTCCAACATTTCTCTGATGAAAATAGGGACGTCCTAAGAAAAAGTGGGACATTCCAGGATCAAATCAAAAACCATGGTGGCTTCTCTAAATTAGGGGTGTTCCTGGAAGACAGGGACAATTGGAGCGTCTGAAGTCACCCAATTAGCCTTTTGGCTGAGTGGGGGACTGAACAAGGATATCCCAACCTAATCCAAACATTTCAGCTACTACACAGGTTCTCACCTGAGGAGTCCTTAAAATATGCACTGCATTGGTATGACCTGCTTTTGTAATAACTAAGAAAACAGGGTTTTGAGGCCGCAACATTAGTCATCCACACAGGGATAGCACAGAACATAATTCCAGGCCTTTCCTGAAGAGCGAGGTCAAATCCCACGGGGGAACTAAACTACCCTCCCCTTCAACAATAATATCAGATAATTTTTAACCAGCTGAATGAACAGTATCTGCAGCAACAGCAGTCTGAGGAAATTTGGTGTTGATCTGTTAGGAATGACAATAAGAAGTGCTGCTGCTTTAATCAACAGTCAGAACGCAGTGGGGAGGCTCTTCCAATTTGCTTTAGGCTGACAGCTTACACAGCTTTTTCATCCAGGCCAGGCAGAGCAAAATCTAATTCCTCCTCCAGCATCCCCTGCAGGAGTGATGATGAGGAACCACCGAAGGAAGAAGGGCAAGAATCACCCCAGTGTCCTAATGACATGGACAAGGAGAATTCTTCACCCTGCAGGATGCCGCAAAATATTTTGGAGATGACATGCTCCATACCCTGGCATTTCCATAAGTTTGTCTCTTCATCACTCGCCTCCCTAAGAAGCCTGCCGCTAGCAGCTCATGGGATCAGACGACTTTCTTGGGGTCAGGCTCCCTCATTCATGTTGGGAAGCAATCGGAGCAGGTGACGACTTTGCCTAGGGCAGCAGGCCACCCAATGGAATATATAAATATATATACATTCCACAGTTCATCTCTAGTATGGGATAGCCCAGATCCCAGGGCCTCCTCTCAATATTATATGGTAGGGTTAGAGAAATGTTTGTTTTGCCTCAAAGTTGCGATGCAATTTGAAACTGGCTAGTGAACTGAATCAAAAAGATGCATGTGCTGCATATTGGAATTTGATAGTTAAACTAATTTATACTGCAACCTGTCAGGCAGTTCTTCTTACTCCACAATTAGCAATACTTAATGTATGGGAAACAATGAAGAACTGGCATCTTGGCCGTGAGTCCTGGAAGACCTGCTCCCTGTCTTGCAGGCCTTTTTCCACCAGGCCTGGGGTATCAGGGCTCTGACTGACTCCAGCTACAAAAGCTGAGGCTGTTGAACAAACGTTTGGGCTGGGATGTTGTTTGCATGGGATGTTTGCTGCCAGAACAGGACAAGACTGTTTTCAGAATCTCTGTGATCACCTGCTCCAATTTTTAACAAGTGGTTGGTCATCCTTTCTCACTATCAGGCTGCTTCTCTCTATTAAACAGCGGGAGCTCAGAAATGTCAGGGAGTTGTATTCAGTTCAGTCGAAACTGCTTGAACTGCAGAATGAGTTTCCTCTTTCTCCTTGATTCTTTGTTTGGAACAGCATGGATGGCAGGATGATAGACAGCCACATATCTCCCAGATCTTAGGACCAGATTGTTCCCATCAGGGTTGATCCAGATTAAATTAGCTGAAGGAAGGTACCATGGAAATTGTTGAAACAAAGACTTAAAGGCGCATACATTTCAGAGGAACTAAAGTTCTAGAATCCTACAGCTACACAGATAGGGGACTTGTCTCATTACCATCTCAAGACAAAGATGAGCTTTTAACTCCTGCATCTGTAGCAGGGACAGTTTTTGTGACTTTGGGGACCTTTGAATGGAGACTGGCCAGGCAAGGAACCTTTTTAAGGGGGGGAGCCTGTTTGCACCTGGCTTTTTGTGGCACTTGTCAATTTACAAATGAGTTTAAACTCAAGATTGGGCTTGAAAGCCTATAGTTGCCTGAAACCTAGTTAACACAACAAACTCAGCGTATTACAAACGCCTGTAATATTGAGATTTATTTGTCTATTTAGTCTAAGGTTTAACTGGCACTGTGCAATTCCAGTGATGATTTTATTGTGTAATAGTATAGTGCCTTTAACCTACTCTTGAGTAGTGTGTGGAAATGCAGCATAGAAACACACACAAACATAGAGAGGTAAAGAGAGAGCGAAATGAGTAATACAGGCATGAAGAAATAAAGCAGAGTGAAATAAAGGCAACAGACAACCAAGGACTGGAAGCTGAGTGCTTGCAGAATTGCCAAAACTGATCAAAGACTAAAAGCTTACAGTAATAATTTCTTAGAAACTTTTATTTGACAATAATTTATTTATTTTATTTTTAGAATAGTCCCCTCAAAGTATCGTTTATATCCCAAGGACCCAAGAGTTACACACTGGCCTGGCAAGGACCCGGAGAATAGTGTTCTCTCCACACTGCCCAGGCCACCTGAGTTATGAATCTTAGAACTGTTGAGTTGGAAAGGACCATGAGGATCATCTTGTCCAACCCCCTACAATGCAGGAATCTTTGACCCAACATGAGGCTTGAACCCATGACCCTGAGATTAAGAGTCTGGTGCTCTACTGACTGAGCTATCCCTCAGCTATAGTGCTTATGTTAATAATGGCAGGTAAGAGGGGAAGGTGGGCTGAGGTTGTTTGACTGGTTGCAGATGGGGATTTCAACAACCACCTCATTCCTGGGTAAATACTGTGCAAGTCACAAGGATTTCACTTGCCTCAATTGAGACTGGTCAGAGCGGCTACAGCAATGAGGCAGTGGGCACACTGATGGCAGTCTGACCCAGAGGATTGGTGCTGGAACAGCATCCTCCACAACACTATTTTAACACTTTCCAGTAACTGGTTAAATTGGTTTCTTGGGTGCAGGTAATGTAAAACCCACAATACATTCTAGCTCCGTGCATTGCATTGCTTGGAGAAGCCAGTGCATCTGTAATATAATCGGCTCCTTCCTATGGTGAAAGACAGTGACTTTGCTGAAGGATAAAAACAGACAAAGAAAACTTTGTTATGACAAGAGATCAAATGGCAAGAAAAGGGCCCAGAAAGCCCAGATGAGCCACGATGTCTCCCCAGATAAGAGAGGAGAAAGCGAATGGAAATGAAGGTAGACAAGGCATGCATTGGAAGCAATGGAAAGGAAAGGTTAATGTAGGCAGGACAGTGGGTTGAATGGATGGCACAATCAAACTAGGCAATTATCTAATCTTTGCTGGCCATCTCAGTGTGAGGAGAGCTCAGCTGACGTATGCCTGAATAAAACATGGCATCGTGCAAAGGAGCTCCCAGGGGTGTTAGGTCAAACATTAAAAAGCTAGAAATAGTTAAGCTACAATGAGAGAGAGAGAGCGACGGAACGGAAGACCTTGCAGACATGCTTGGATTAGCTGCCTGCTGAAGTGCACACAGGTTAGCCAGATTACACCTTCCTTCTGTCTGTGAAAATGCCAGGCTGAAACTCAGGCAGACAGAGCAGTGCAGAAGCAAGGCTTAGTGGGGCTTCAAAAGCAGGCTGGACCTTGTGTGGGATTAGTCATGAAACCATTAGGGTTTGTCAAGTGGGATGCTGGGTAACAGGTTGATCCTCCCTCTGAAGCACCTCTTCAGTGAACCTTAACCTGCAAATATTCTACTGGATCAGGGCTCAGAGGTGGAGAGGAATTTTTGGAATATGAAAATTTGACGGATCACTGCAAATAATTGGAATTCCAATGGTTCAGAATGCCTTGCCATTTCACTGCTTCTCACAATCACTGCCTTCCATAAAGTTTCCTCCTGCTGCAGTTCATATTTTCTTTCCTGTCACTTCTTGTTTTTGTTCTTACCGTAGTCCACCCCATCTGTACTGTGTCCAAGAAGTCCTCATCTTCTCTTAATGAGGCCAAGTGCAGTCGTTCATGCAATTGCCTTACCTTCTATTCTAACAGAGAAACCAGTTTACCCTTGCTGCACGTGTAGTCTAAGGTGCTTTCAAGCAAGAAAATAAACATACTGCATCCATTGCAGATAACCTTTGAGTAAGTTCCACCAAACTCAATGGAACTTACTTCTGAGATCCAGCAAACCCAGACCAGCATGATGAGTGCAGCAGCCGAGACAGCAGAAGAGAGGAACAGGTGAGTTTGTTTTGCAGATCTGGCCCCTGGCAGGGGGGTGGGGCCAAAAGGAGCAGTTCACTTCAAATGAACCATAATGTTCCAATTCCCAGCTTTCATTTAAAAAAAAAAGTACATTTCTAGCATTTGTAGAACCTGAGATATAAAGCAAAATGTACAGACAGCATCCATCTCATTTTTATTATTGTGAGAAAACCAGGCTGCTGCTCCCTTTCAGTGCTTTACTTTGGACCACCACCATTCTATAAAAATTATGTGGCTGCCCATGGCCCTGGCATACCACAACCCCCCCCGTATGAGGAGAGAGAGAGCCTCGCTATGCTGCATGACAGCAGAGCCCTTCCTCACATCTTGCAACATCTGGCTATGAGGGATGCTATCACTTATCAGGCTGCCGTAAGTGATGAGACACCCTTGGTAGTGGCCCAAAGTGTGTGGAACTGAAGAGTCTTACTTTTAGGGAGGCACTTTGGAAGTGGCAGAAGGGCTACCCCATTTAGGATGGAGGGAGAAATTGTTCTAGCCCTTTCTGGGAGATATGGTGGCCCTTTGAGGCAAATATTTATATGGCTACTTGGTTGGGTATTATGTTTTTAAATCTTAGATATTATTTTAATTGTGGATTTTGGGGGTACTAGCTAGGGCATGTTTATTATTTTACTCTGCAGATCTTAATATATGCCTGGGAGGTTTTCAAAAAATCCTAGTGGAGAAGAAGAACAGCTATGCCAGTATGATCTTGAGCAAAGGTATTCATGGTCATCTTCTTAGTCTGACGCTAGAGGCATTCACACATTATATTCAGTGAGTGTACAGTCTGTGTTTCTGTGTACACAGGTAGCTGGGCTGTACATTTGTAAAGTTATGAAATCTTCAATGAATGTAGTGTCTGTGTACACAACAGCTGAGCTGTACAAATTAACAAGTGTATGCTCTTCCACACAAACACTTGTACCTGTGGTGGGTATAATACGTGAACAAGTCTCCTGTTTGACTTAACGCAGTCAAGTTTCATGATCAAACAGGGAATGGAATTATGTGAATTCTCACTGTCCAACACTCTAATCACTACACCACACAATGGCACTCCTGCCTCATCAGTTGCCTTATCCACCACTCATCTACCTTTGCAAGAGAGCAGCCTTTGAACTACGCATCATTAATGTACCAAAGAGTATGTACTTTGCACTGTTCTTTTGTTGTGAGACATTCAGAGCTATATAGAGTAGGCTCGGGCGGACTTGAAGCCTGCCCCATCTAGTTTGCTAACCAGCTGGAGCCAAGTGCAGAACAGTGGCTTATAGCGGGGAGCAGGCTGCTGACATTCCAAACCGGTGTGCTCTGTTCTTTACAGGAATTTGTTTTCATTACCAGAACCAAGCTTACAGTCCTTATCATACAAAATAGCTCAGTTGCTTGAGCGTGAAACTTAATCTCAGGGTCGTGGGTTTGAGCCCCACATTGGGCAAAAGGTTCTTGCATTGCAGGGCGTTGGATCAGATGACCCTCATGGTCCCTTCGAACTCTACAATTCAGCGATTCTAAATTCCTTCCAGGTTTCCCTCCAAGCTTTCTTCGTATCAGCAGCCTAATTTTAGAGGAAAGGTTGCTACCATTGTTATACAATTGGGAAATCCTTCTCACCAGGGCTTTTTTCCAGCTGGACCTCAACAGAACTCAGTTCCAGCATCTCTCAGGTGGGTGCCATTGCCCTTATAAGAGAACAAGGGAGGTATTCATGGTTAGTTCTGGCACCTCCTTTTCTAGAAAAAAGGCACCGCTTGTCACCCCAGTCCTATCTTCTGACCAACCGATTGATATACAGGCACATAACAGAATATAGATCGAGGCAAAGGAGTCTTCCAAATATCAAATGAGTTTTGGTTGTCCCTCCCAGCCCCAGGATAAAACCGTACCATTGGATTAACACTGCATCCAGACAGTTGGAAAGATCCTAGCATGAAGCCATAAAACCTTACATTCAAATTAAAACAAAATGTATTAAGCTGCTGCTTGCCACGTTTTCCCCCCAATTATGTTTCAATTTAGCTCAATTACTTTCCCATTAGCGTTTGGTGATTCTTTTTTAATTGAAGCTCCATGTTATTGTCTCCTTGATTTCCTTCTGCTATGTGATTCTCTAAGGAACAGCAGAAACCAGCTCCTTGGGAGAATGGGCTGGCTTTTAAATTATCTGGAAAGGCAAAGCAATAGGAAGAAGTAAATCTGAGGACATTTCAACAGCCCTTTAATCTAGGGCCTGGGAACAACACAGCCACAGGTATTGTTACTTGAAGTATCTGTTGGTCTGTTATGCAGCTATGTTATTCTCACATTCCTATAGGGAGATGAGGAGCTTCTGGCAGGGTGCTACTGGCCCAGTGCATTAACATGGGAAGCCTAAGGAATGTGTTCAGTGTTAACTGCAATATCTCTTCAAACATGTGAATGCGTAAATGTCCATTCTCAGCACACAAGAGCATTCCAACATACCTGCCACATGAAACTGGTGTAGTAAGATCTCCTTGTGGCGAGTTTGCTGTGAAAACAAACACAAACAAGCAGTTTAAACCTCAAAGCAGGTTCAGTGTCAGCACCATTGTCAAATGCTGTGGTCTGAGGCTGACACCAGTTACTGATTTCCCCTTTTCCCCTTGTTTTTCTTTAAAATAAAAATAATGCTAAAATGGTGGGTGCTTAACCTATTTGCATACATTCCTTTAAGAATTCTGGAGGGAGGGTACTTCTCTGCATGCTCAGTAGTGAGCTGGAGCAGGAAGCAGCCACCACTGTTATCAGATAGTCTGTCGATAGAATGGGAGATAATTCTGTGGCAACCGTCTGGAAGAAAAAAACATTAAAAGTACAGTGCTCTGATGTGTTATTGAGGTGTTTATGTAAACACACACACACACACAGTGTTATTGTTTGATGCATGTGAGTTATATACCATCTGCCTTTCCAGCAATCCTTTGTTGTGAGTCCCTGAAGAGCCACTGAATAAACATATACATAGGGAAAGTTTCTAAAAAGGTTATAGGTACATGGCAAAGCACCAGTCAAAGCTGCAGTTGCGGGAGCCAAGGAGGAAGGGTAAAACCAGGATGGCATGCAGTGCGGGGGGAACCAGGTGATGGGGGCTCCTTGCTTGCAGGCCCCTCAAACATGGCATGACCCACACCTCATAGTTTGGAATTTCAGTGGTATGCATTCATGAACTTTTAAGTGCAACTATTAATGATCAAATGCTGCATAATTTCTTAAACATTACTCCATAATCCTAATTGAAGAACATTTTTAAAAAATTATGCAGTGGTTAATCATTAATGGGTACCATGGGAAGAACTGTACCAAACACTGTACCCAGGGGCTAAAGCAAAAGAAAGGCAATGGCAACAGGGTGCACTGTATGGGACTGTCACTGCCTTTTTCCCAGATGGGCAACTAGCAGCCTGCTCTGTGATCTCTATTCTAAATTCATATAGGTGCCCTTGACTCAAACTCCTGTATTTTTTTCTTTTCTTTTTAATGACACACACATTTTGGGCCAGCTGTTCAGTTTTGGCCATGTGGTCACTACATGTAATCCTTGCTAGACTAGGGAAAGGTACCGTATTTTTCGCTCTATTGGACGCACCGGACCACAGGACGCACCTAGTTTTTAGAGGGGGAAATCAAGGGAAAAAATATTATTCCCCCCCCAGCCCCAAAGAGCAAGGGACAGGCTGCACGCAGCCTGTCCGCTTCTCCCAGAGCTTCTCGGGGCTGCGGGGGAAGCCTGGGTTCCCCCCCAGCCCCAAAGAGCAAAGAAGCCAAGACAGCGAGCGGGATCCATAGCCGTGCAACCTCTCCAGCCAGGAGCTAAACCTCTCCAGCGTAGCTAAAGAAGAAGACAAGGCAGCGAGCGCGATCCATCCCGCTCACTGCCTTGGCTTCCTGTTTAGCCTTGAGCAGCATCTTTAGCCTTGCGCAACAGGATGGATCGTGCCCACTGTCCACTGGGGCTGGACTAGATGACTCCTGGGGTTCCCTTCCAACCCTGCAATTCTATGACCTTGGAAGGTGTTGGGGTCTCCACCACTGGAGGCTTTTAAGCAGCAGTTGGGGGACCATCTGCCTGGCGTTCTTTAGCTGTAATTCCTACATTGTGAGGGGGCTGGGCTAGATGACCCTTGGGTGGCCCTCCCAACTTAGCTTTTAAAGTTGGTATAATATTGTGCCCCTGAACTATACCATGTGAACCAGACCCTAGATTTCTGTTCCTCAAAGAGGCCTACCAGTCTTCTTCAATCTCTTTACTGATCCTCTGCCTCTCCTCCTGCATATTTCTTTGCTCCTTCTTAAAGATGCCTGATGCTACATATCAGTTCACATGGAATTTGGGGTTGGGTCTGGCCTTTCCAAAATTCTTGCTAAGTAACCCTACAAAGGTAAATAGAGAGAGAGCTTCACCATAGGAAGCCCCCTTATACTGTGTCAGACCACAGATCTATCTAGCTTACTAATGTCAGCACTGAACATCAGCAGCGCTCCAGGATTTCACAGCAGGGTCTTTCCTGTTCCTACATGGAGATGCCAGGGATTGAACCTGAGACCTTCTACACGCAAAGCAGATACAAGCTGCAGCTGTGATCCAAGCCACTTGCTTCAGACGTAGCCACTCCACTTTAGCATGGCAGTTCAGGGGGGCAACATCATTAAAGGACATGATTTTCTGCATGAGTTGGCAAATATGTGCTAAAAAAATTAATGGGAGATGTGTGACTAGTTATTTGAACACATTTGCAAGCCGTGCACAAGCTTAAAAGCATTAAGCTCAATTAATTAACACACATTTATAACCGAGGAAGATTTATAGTATTCCTTCACTGAAGTATTGGAAATGCACTCTGAAATATGTGGTTTGCCCCTCAACGTGCTCATTGGTTCACTGCCAGCGCCATATGTACAACCCCCCTATTCTATCAGAATGCAACTCAGAACCAATTTGCATGCATAAAATGTGGACTTGCACCGTCTACACCCACACAACAGTAATGAGTCCTGGTTCAGCTTACAGTCCATCTGTCATGGATTCTCAGCATTTTATTTATTACGTTTATATTCCAGCCTTCCTCCAAGGTGTAGTTGGTGGGATTTCTGACCCATCCACACCAGAGATATTTCCATGCAATGTAAAGTGGTCCCCCATGGTATAGCTTGATTTAGTCAAACCCTACTTATTCTTGATCAGAGAAAGTTTGGGAAAGACGATGGATAAAACTAGCTGGACATGATAGTATGTAGTATAATTAGTCCTACTGCCACACAAAGTTGTCCATCACCTGAGGTCACTGGAGAGGCTCTTTTCTAGGTTTCCTCACCTGCTGAGGTAAGGTTGTGGTTGTGGAAGAATGAGCATTTTCTGTTGTGGCACTGTGCCCATGGCTTGTTCCCTGCCTGTTGGCTAAGGCTGTGTACTTTGCACCCACAGTTCTGATTTTTCAACTTCTGGTTAAAATGTTTTTACCTGCCCAGTCACTGTAATTCAGTATATTATACTGTTGTTGGCTGCTACTTACAAGGTTTTACTTTTTCTTTTCAATGAATGTTTTTTATCTGCTGCCACCTTGTAAAATTCTGTGCATGTTTACTCGAAAGAAATGAATCTTAACCATCTTTACTCAGAAGTCAGTCATGCTGAATCGAGTAGGGCTTACTTTCAGGTAAGCAGGGCTCGGATTAACAGTCTTAAACTCACTGCTTTCTTTTGGAACTTACTGCCTAATAAGTGTCTTTAAGAATTATAGCCTTTCTTGCCGTCTTTAGGTCTTGCTCTAGTTGCTGCTTGTACAAATTATTGTTCATATTATTCCTCTCTGTATTTTCATGATATTTGCTGCAAAAAATAAATGTTTTGTTGATGATAATGTGAAGTGGAAATATTTTAAATAAACAGATAGAGCAGTAATCTGGCTGCACAAAGGAGTTGTAGCAAGAGCAGTTTATTCCTTTCACAACTCTCAGTATAGTAATTACTCTTTCTCACAGACACATACTTTGAAACGTAACACATACTTAACATACAATGCCAGGGGGGCCATCTAGAGTGTCAGAAGACCTGTCATCACACCTCCTAAACCCAGCACCTCTGTTGGAGCACATATGTGTGCACACATACAACAAATCCTAGGAGTTAAAATTGCAGATTGCTCTGTGTCAGAATAGAACTAGAGATGCCACCAGAAATTTGCTTTAGGCCAAGGATGGGGAACCTGTGGTCCTCCATATATTGTGGACTTCCAACTCCCATCAGCCACTGCCAGCATGGCCTGTGGTCAGGGCTGACAAGCGCTGGAGTCCAGCAATATTTAGAGAGGCACAGGTTCCCCACTCTAGCTTACAAGGTACAATCAAGAAGATGCTTCCCTCCTACCCTGTTTGCAAATAGGAGGCTGGCTGATTCCAGTGCTTAAATGACTTGCGATG